AAAAGTAATTTTTTTTAATATGAAAAAACTTAAATTTATGTTATTTTTTTTTATTTTATTATTTTAATGAAATATGATTTGTTATATCATAGTATATAAAATGAGAAATTTTTAAAATGTTTAATCTATACAGAATTTTCCGTCGTATGGATGATGATGGAAATAAGAAGTTGAATCTAGAAGAATTCACCAAAGGTCTCGAGGAAAGTAATTTGGATATTTCCGATGAAGAGATTCAAGAAATGTTTAATAAATTCGACACAGATAATGATGGGAACATTAGCGTCGATGAGTTTATTATTGGTATAAGAGTATGTATATTTTTATAACTAAATACTTTTTCATTATTTATCATTATTAAGAAATAAATTTAATTATTAAGAATTAGTTATTAAGAAAAAAATTCTTTTTAGCCTCCAATGTCTCAAAATCGCAAAAATGTAGTAGATCAAGCCTTCAAAAAATTGGATAAAACTGGTGATGGAGTGATCACGATCGATGATTTAAGAGGAATTTATAATGTTAAGTGTCATCCCCGTTATATCAGTGGTGAAGAAAGTGAGGAAAGTATTCTCAACAAGTTTTTAGCGAATTTTGAACAGAATAATACTAGAAATGGCACAGTAAGTATTTTTTTGTTTTTAGGAAAGATTTCTATAAAATTTTATTTTTTTCTATTAGAATTTTTAAATAAATAATAATTTAATAGAGTAAATGGATTGCTTTCTTCTAGTTTTGATATGAAAAATAATTTTAAATAGAATATTAAATCTATATGTTACAGGTTACCGAAGAAGAATTTATGAATTATTATAGCGCTATCAGCGCAAGCATCGATCATGATGCCTATTTTGATCTAATGATGCGAAATGCTTACAAACTCTGAATCTTGTAACAAGATATTTTTCCAATTTAATTTTCACTACTTTTAAACTTATAGCTTTTGCGATCAATGTCTATTTTTAAAGCATTCATGCAACTGATAGTAACTAATAAAAAATTTATAGATAGCTCTAGATAGTTTACGGAAGTTGGCAATTTAGTTTACGAAATAATCATGATCACTAGTTTTCTCTAAAGAAATTTTATCTAATTAATTGATGAATTGTATTAATGTATTAATGTATAAAGGAAATATCAAGAAGATAATATTCCTATAAAAATATATATATGTATCTTTCTCTTCATGTGTTTCGCTACATATTTCTTAATTTGATCCAAAAACGTTTCCTATGATTCTTAATTTTTCTATAAAAATTTAATTGATATTAATACTTATAGTAGCAAATATATTGAAAAATTTGTATGCATGCGTTTTGCATTTATAATTCAGATATAAAAATTTTCTACAATTTTCGGTTTAATTTAAGATTTACTCTACCAAATATTAATATGTGTATATGGTCATTTATAAAATGTAGCTTGTAAGAACGGAAGCTTGGTTATAGGGTCCAACACAATGAAATGATATATATTAGACTGAATTGAATTTGCGTCATGTCAATTATTTATATATTCGTGAAAAATAGAGTTTTTATCTTTTCATTTCAGAGTGATAAACATTGAATACTTATTATTTAATTAGAAAAAAATACATAATATTCACTTTGTAAAAATAGGAATTGATGGGAATAATTCTAGCAGCCAAGCATGCAAAAAATGCGTCAAACGTGTTTTATTGTATTCAAATATTAAAGTAAATAGTTTCATTATTGTATAATTTAATTTCACCTGTTTAATTTTTAGAACGTAACTTTTTTACATTTTGATTTTAAAATATTAAAATTTATTAAAAATTTTAATTTCAATCTTTTTATTATAATTAAATATATTTTGAGAAAATGATAAAAGCTGAATATTATATAATTCTATTTAAGAATCCTTATAAAAAGTTTCGTTCTTACATTATGAGCTTCTTCGGTTTCTTATATATTTATAATATCCATTTAGTATCAATCTTTTTTAATATATTTTAATTAAAGAAACATTTTTTCTTGATAAAAGTTCTATTTTGATGTTCATTTTGATGTTTAATTTTCTTAATAAAAGTTCTATTTTGATATTCTGTTTTGATGTTTCATTTTCTATTTTGATGTTCAACAGATATCTAATAGAATAATAATATTTGATAATAATAATTATTTATCAAATTTTTTTACAATAAGGATATAATTATATTAATTATATAATAATTATATTAATTATATTATAATTATATAATTAAATTATTAACTTTGATATAATAGTAATTGTACTATTTTGTAAAGTTATCGTCATTTTCATAAAATGCAAAAAACATTAAAATTGGAATACAATAATATTAAAATTATTATTTATCTAGACATATAAATTATTATTTATTTATTTTAATTTTAAATTTTTTATTTTTTCTAATGAAACTATATTAAAGGAAAAAAATTTGCATCGGCCGGGAATCGAACCCGGGCCGCCCGCGTGGCAGGCGAGCATTCTACCACTGAACCACCGATGCTCCATATATAACGACCTATACATAAATTATACTGTAGTATCCTAAAGTACTAATAAATTACAATTTTTCCTTTGCTCTGAAAAGCTTCAAAAACGCATCAGGAGAAAAAAATAAAATTCAGAACATTCTTAGTAAATTTTTATTGGTTATGAACAAAACTTCGACAATAAACAAATCTTCTTATATTATTTTATTTCTGTATTTAACGATTCCAATTTTATCTTTAACATTTTGTAAGTATATATTTTATAATATTATTTAATACATTCAAAATTTATTATTATAAATTATAAGAATTAAAAAATACATATTATTCTTCAAGATAAAATTTAAAAAAAATTTAAGTTTTTTAATTGTATTAATATATAAGTAATTGAACTGTTAAATATATTTAAGAATTTATTTATTATGGAAAAAATAATAAATAAAATGAAAAATGAATTAATGAAAAATATAATTTTTATATTAAAAAAGAACAATATTTACCATAAGATTATATATATTTTTTAAAATTATAATAAAAAATAATATGTAATAAAATACAAAAAAAAGAAACCTTGCATCGGCCGGGAATCGAACCCGGGCCGCCCGCGTGGCAGGCGAGCATTCTACCACTGAACCACCGATGCTTGTTTAAATTATTGTAAATATATGTATAAAATGTATTAATATAGTTTACTTTTTAAATTTAATTTAATAAATTTTATATTATCTATAAATTCTATATTATAGGATACAATCTAATATAGAATTATTCAATAATCTTTAGTTATTAATATTCAAAATAATGATTACTTTTTGAAATTTTTAATTATATATGGGCAATCAACTACTAATTACATGTACATATAATTATATGTATAATATATGTTGTGAAAAAAATGTAAAGCTTCAAAAATATAAGTGGATATTTGAATACGGACTACGAGAAAAAAAAGCTGTTCTTTTAAGGAAATCATAAATTATAACTTTATTTATATTAAATCACAAGTTAAAAAACTCAAAGATTTTAAACATTCTTTAAAATCTTCAAGAGAACAGATATCAAAAATAAATATAAATAAAGGATTTTATTAAATAAACATTATATTAGTAAATATTTTTCATTTTTAATTGTTTTTACAATACATGATATATATATAATGATATAAACATTTTCTGTTTATCATGAAATAATAATATAATAATAATATAATAAAGAACAACAAGAAATGAAAAAAAAGAATAAGAAGAAATAAAAAAAATACTCTCCCCGTCGGGGAATCGAACCCCGGTCTCCCGCGTGACAGGCGGGGATACTAACCACTATACTAACGAGGATTTTAATGACATTTTATTTTCTTATTGACTCATGACGAAATAAATATATTTTAAAATAATAAATTTTAAAAATCAAAACTAGCATTACCATTTTCAATGTCTTAATGATATGTATCATTAAAATTATTATTAATATATTATTATTCGTAGACGATATTTAAGGAGAGTCCAAATAAATTATTTTTTATTAATTTTTCATATTTATATAAACAATATAAAAATAAATAATATTATTGTTACTTCAAAACAAGCATATAACATATAATATATATAAGTAATACTATTTTTCGATTGTATTATTTACTTTTTTATTTTATGTATTGTGAATTGAATTATATTTATTATTTCCATATAAAAAAATATAGAATTAATTTCAAATTATCTTGTTCTTCGATTTATATTTTTTAAACATGTTTTTGCAAATAGTAACTCAATTATTATTATAATTAATGTTCTAATGTAAAAATAACAATTTATATTGAATCTAGAATTAGAAGATTTGGATATTACTGTCTATGAGTAAGAAAATAATGTTATATATAACGTATTATTCGATTAATTATTAATGCATTCAACAATACCTGATATTTTAATTTATAATATTATTTTTTGAAAACTATTTTAAAATATATATATAAAATATATACTTTTTTAGGTATTTTACCAATTTAATTATTAGATACATTTTAGTATTCATAATTATTTATAAAAAAAAATTATTTATAAATTTTGCAAAAATAGAAAAAAAACCTCCCCGGCGGGGAATCGAACCCCGGTCTCCCGCGTGACAGGCGGGGATACTGACCACTATACTACCGAGGATTCTTTCTACTTGTTTTTTAATTAAATATTATAAAGAAAAAATTTATATTTATATTTTATAATAATTATATTTTATAATATATTTAATGTAAAATATTATATTTAAATGATTATTTAAATTTTATATTATTATTTAATAATTTATTGAAATCATATTATACTTTTGTGTAAAAATATTATTAAATAGTATTATAATGATAGATTATAATGATTTATTTAATATATATTTTTTTTTCTTTTGAAGACAGTAAAAATTATCGAAAGTAAATAGATTTACATCACATATATAAAATTGGATTAAAATTAACATAGATATGAAGAATATAAGATTTATATAAGCGGAGCGCGTGCGCTCAGAAGTTTAGTATTGGACTATCGTTCGTGCGAGTCGCCACAGTGTGTTTCTATCTTTCATTTTCTAGAGTATTGTATCTTACTTTCTTGTCTATCTTATTTTCACTAATTTTCTGAGCAAAACTGACATATCAATGCATGTTTTTCATAATAAACAGAATACGTTCGAATGCATACAAAGTTACTGAAGTGATACAATAGTTATGCGTAACTGAAGGTATATTTCTATTTCGTAATTCCGTCGTATAGATACATTCTTTTTCGCGGGATATTTATTGACAGGATTTCGACATCGATAAACATTGTTACAATCCTTGGTTGAATATTTTTTATCAAGAAACAGAGATGTTCAAATATTCGACCATATTCACTGCCATAATATTCTTATGTGGTAAGTTACTAATTCAAGTAATCGAATTCAACGATTTGTTTGGACATTTAGAAATATATAGATTTTTTTTTTGCTATATTTTTTCATTGATAAAATTTGTGATAATTCATGTATCGTATCATTTAGCATAAAAGAAAGATTCGAGAGATGATTAAAAAAGTTAAAAGGAAAAATTCATAAAATGATCGCATGTGCAAAATCATGCTAGTTAATTTTTTTATACTCACGTTAAAAGAGTTGTTTTATCAGTAGAATTCGAGATTAAATATTACCGCTTGAAATACAATTCTTTATGTATATCATTCGAAAGAAATGACCATTGTTCTACATTTATGATAGGAACAGTGAATCTCAAATTTCACTGTTTGATTTTAAAATCAAGAAATGATAATGACATTCATGCTCATATTTGATAATGATATGTATCATTAGAATTAAATGTAATAACTGCATCGAATGCTCGATTTATTGACATTTAATTCTTAATATATATTCCGCATAAATATTTACAGATATAAATTAATGATCGATATACTTGATTATTGATATGAGATAAAGATTGTACTATTCTCTTTTTACATCGAATAAATACTTATCATTATTACGAATGCACAGATTGCATGTTGATTCAACTTGTGTACTTTGTACTTTATGAATATATTTTCATTTTTCATTAATTGAATATTTATGATACAAAAAATTTTTATAAAACAATTATAAAAAATATATTCTTATTATTATTATTGAAATCATTTTATTAAAAATTCAGTTTCATAATTTCTTTTATTTTTCATAACCTATAAGTGTATAATAAAACAAAGAAAATAATTAAAATATTATATAAATTTATTTTAATTTTTATTAATTTCATATTGAATGAAATTAATTTTAATAATTTTAATTCGAAAAATAAAAAAAATATAAGAAATAAAAAATATGATTAATAGACTTGTGATTATAAATTGAAATAATAACTAATACAAAGTCCACGTGAGATGACGTGTTTACTTCCTCTTTAAACAGGAAATGCTATAAAACAAGATTTCAAATAATCGTAAAACTTAGCAACTTTTAAATTAACTTAATTTTTAAATTTAAATATTTAATGCTAAAAAAGTTATGAAAGGAATAATCAAAAATTATAATTTTTATTCAAAATTATAATTTTGATATTTTCTTGTCTTATAAAAACTTCTGAAATAAATATTAAACATATTAATAATTATTGAAATTCATTTGCAAAATATATCTTAAATAATATGTCTTAATATATATAATTATAATTAATATAATTAAAATATTTAAATACATATAATATAATGTATATAAATATATATATATAGAAAATATACTTAAAAAAATTATTTTGAATTATTATTTTGCAAAATTATTACACGTAAATTAAAAAATATATTATAAATTATATCTATCTATAATTATATTTAATATAATTATATTTATAAATTAATATATCACTTTTTATTACAGCATTTCTTGGATGCACCATTTCTGAAGATAACTTGCCTAATGCAGAAGAAGCATTACAAAAAGTTTCTGATATTATTGATTTGAACAATTTAAATGTATCTGGAAACCCTGCTTTGGATAATGTTAATGCATCTGTGATAAAACATGCTCTGGAAGAAAGTCAAAGTGTTTTCAAACAAAAATGTGACAAAAATGGTGGAGAGGGTACATTTGAAAATGCTATAAATGCAATGAATGACTTAGAACAGTGCCTTAAATCATTTGTTAATTTCACAAAGTTGGAAAAAGAAATGGAAAGACATAAACCCACTGGAGATTTGGATACAGTGTTTAAAACTTACTGCCGTAAAACTCCCACTCTTAAGAAATGTGTTAGCAATTTTACTACAGCAATAGAGCCATGTTTGGAACCACAAGAACGAGAAAATAAGAAAATCATTCAAAATATTACGGATTCTCTCTTAACTTTTGTTTGTTATAAAGAGGGAGACCGTATTGCTCGTATGCATTTTTCTTTTTAATTCAAGATTATTTAATAGAATAAGATAAAAATAATAATAGTTTGAAATATTACTAAATATTACTATTATTAATTGTTTATAGTTTTCATTTCTGCTAATGGACCAGAATGTTTGCAATCAAAACAACAGGAAATTCAACAATGTGTCAACATTACTTTGGGAAGTTATATCCCTCAAACAGATTTCAACAATGGACCAGGATTAAATTCTCTTCCACTTCTTGTTTTTGGAACTAAAGAATGCACGTAAGAATCAATATTTATATAATAAATTTTATATAAATAAAGTAATTTTTTTTTGATATATATTTTTAGAGATATTTCTAAAGTTCAGAGCTGTATTGTAAGAGAATTGGAAAAATGTAAGGATCCAGTACCAGCAAATATTGTGGATTCTATATTCAATTATATTATAAAAGTGACACCATGCCAAAAAGTAATAAATCTTCAAAATACTGCTTCTAACTCAACAATTAACTTATTATGCATGAGTCTAATATTTTTATTGTTAATACTTACATAAAATTAATTCTAATAGAAATTATTTACAAAAAAATTCAAAATTAAAAGACAAAAATTCTTGTTTACAAGTATAAATTTCATTATTATATAGATTACTTTAAATTTTATTGAAACATATGTGATACTTTTGAAAGTAAGAAAATATTCAAATGTATATAAGTCTGGTTTTTAAAAAATTTTTCACTATATTGATTCAAATTATAAAAAAACAAAATTTACTGTACTGTTTTAATAATTCTGGTGCTTCAGAATAGACTGACATAGATTGACATTTGTAAGTGTCCATCTGAATATAATGCTAAATATAAATTGTAACTATAATAGAAAACCTAAACTTCACTTTTGCAACACTTGGAATATGTTCAATTTTATACTATAGTGATATAATTAAATAAATTCATACTTGTAATATAAGTACCATGAATTATATACAATAATAAGACATGAAATTGTCATCATTTGTATAGATTAATATAAATATATTATAATAGAAATATATTGTATTTTTTTCATGATACTTAATGTTATTATACAATTTAATGTTATTATTATAATGAAATTATTATTATGAAATGTTTTTTATATTCCAAAATATAAAATAATACACAATTTTCCTTTTATAATACAAATTATTTTTGTATAAATTTATATATTTAATATATTAATAATCATAACTCTATAATTAATATATATTACAATAATGTCGTAACACTTTTCGAAAACAAAATATTTTTATTTGTACTTACATTTGTGATTCTATTCAAAATTTCATATAAATATATTCTTTAAAAAATGTTATATGTCTTCACATCACGCGCGCGAACGAATAAAAGAAATAAGATTATTTTCCGTTGGAACTACGATGTAATAATTGATATACGTTCATTAGCTTCTTATGAATCCTTAGAGCTATTCTTCTATTGGTGAACAGGTGAATTTCTATTCATAGAAATGTATTGCGCACGCGTCGTGTTTCGCATTCTTTCGCTTGTCTTCGGGTAGGTTCGCAGCTCGCAAAAGCAGTGCACTTGAGAAAGCCCATCGCAGGCTGTCTCGACGTGTATGTTTTGAACAATTCGCAACATGTTAATGAGTTTTTATCAGATTCTAATTAAAAATTCATGCAGTGTATTCAGTATACGAAAAAAAATTAATAGTGCTAGACATTTACCCTCTTGATCGAGTATTTTTATTAGTATCAATTGTGCAATAAGGAAGGTGAAGAACGATGCCAGGCAAAGGAGGCAGAAGACGAAAATGCGGTAGGAAAATCTTATTTTTTGATGCTATTTATAATATTTGTTTTTTATTAAAAATGATTATTTAAAAAATTCTCAAAATCTTATTGATAAAAAGTCTTGATCAAATATGTGATGATCGTTCTTTATTAAATTATTGGCATTCTTTTGGAATGACTCATCATTTAAATGTTATTTATTTTATCTTACAGCACATATTAGATTGTCAATTATTTTAATTTTTTTAATGATATTATATATAAAATCACTGACTAATTTTCGAATAAAAAACTATATTGATTTATGAAATTTTTAATAATATGTTCGAATTGAAGCAACATCGTGTCACTACTAGCTATCCCCATGTGACTTTCATGCTTTTCGTACGGGTTTGGGTTAGGTACGAGATAGAATAAAAAATTTTCGAATGATTGAAATAAATCGTTAATTTAAATCATATTTTAAAATAGAAGCAATTTTTTTGTAGAAAAAATTATGAATCACTGGAAAAGATGTTTATTGCTTGCTTTATATTTTAAATGAGCGGTAAAGGGTTAGATATATCATGATTTTTTGTATCATTTGTATTAAATTTAGATCGTTTATTATATCTAACATTTATTATTTCTTATATTTATACAAAATATGCGTCATTTCTATACAATATATCAATTATCAATGCATGTAATTAATGATATTTGAAATTCTTTTAATGAATTCTTATATATATTTTGCAATTTGTTACAGTAAATATTTTGTTTAATAATTAAAAATTATAAAATTGATATATGATTTTTATAATTATATTTTTACATAGATTTCTTAAAACTAATTAACTATATATATGGATAACAATTTTACCAGATGACAAGAATAACAGCTGTTTAATATTTATATCATATTACATTATATATTAGATTTATTTTTTAAATGATATTTACTTTTAACAGTTGTTATCTTACTATCTATGCAAATTAAATATAAAAATTGATTACACATTTATATCATTGATGGTTATTTAAATTTTTTTCAATATAAATATTGATGTATTTTATATCATGATAAAGAAATTTTTAATATTTTTAAATTTATAATATTTTTTATTTATCAAATATTACATGTAAACATAATTTATTTATAAAACATAATTATAAAAAAATTATCTTCTTTATAGGACATGGTGGAAAAAGAGCTGAATTAACATCTGATGAAGATTCTATCAATAATGATGCATGCAGCGTATCTAGTAGTCAATCTGATAATCGCAGCATGTTAGATGATGTGAATGATAATGAGGTAGATGAATTCGCGCAGCAAGAAGCATTTGAAGAAAAGCTAAAGGAAGCAATTGATGGTTTATCACAAAAGAGTGCAAAAGGCAGAACAATTTGTTTTAATGGAATAGAAAGAATCTTTGCCATCAAATATATTCCAGATTTTGTAGAAGATAGAAAAATGACTATCACAGATTCAGTGGAACGAGGCTTAAGAAAAGGACGTAGTGAAGAACAATCTACAGCAGCCAGATTAAGTAGTTTGCTTTGTGTTCAATTGGGAGCTTTTGAAAGTGCAGAAATAGTTTGTCGAGATTTGAAAAGTACTTTAACTTTTATTGCCAGCGATACCACAGCTTCTACTCAAGCACGTTCAGAGGTAAAACAATAAAAGTGATAATCCAATTTATTTATAAATAATAAATTATATATTTACAGTGCTGTTGGGCTCTAAGCATGAATCAATTCTTATCAGGCAATGATGCAACTGCTACCATTGAAATTGTACAATTATTGTCTGGTATTTTCTCTGGTTCCTATTTAAAAGGAAATGGTGCTATAGCAAATATTTCTACAGAAATTGCTGCGTTGCATGCTACAGCTATTTCATCTTGGACACTTCTCTTAACAGTAATGGCTCCAGCAGATATTTACAGCTTGCTTGCGAGTGATAGAACTAGTAGTTATATGCCGTAAGTATTTTTAAAGAAAAAAGTATTTTTAAGAAAAAAGATTAGAATTATAAAAATAATTTTTATTTTAGGTCCTTGAATAGATTGCGCGAGTTATTAGAATCACCACATTTGGATATAAGATTGTCAGCTGGTGAAGCTCTAGCTGTAATATTCGAATTGGGTCGCGATTTTTCATGCGATTATGAGCAGGATTGGTCTTTGGATCTAATCGAAGTATTAAAAGAGTTAGCTACAGATTCAAATAAGTACAGAGCAAAAAAAGACCGTAAACAACAGAGAGCTAATTTCAGAGATATACTTCGCTATATAGAAGTAAATTTTGTATTAAGAATATTAGAATATTGAATATTGTCATATATACTGATAATGAATATTACTTTTATTAGGAGGATATTTTACCAGAAATGCATGTAAAATTTGGCCAAGAAATTCTATATTTAGAAGGATGGTGCGCACGAACTCAGTATAATGCGTGCTGTAGATTACTTGGTCCGGGAATAAATATTCATCTTGCGGAAAATCAACTTCTGCGCGAAATTTTTCACCTTGGTAATAAAGTTGTGCCGATACAATTGAATCAGAAGACAAGTAAATTAGAAAGGGTAAATTTTTTACATTGAATAGTCTTGATTACAATATTAATTTCAAATTAATTAATTTTATGAATTTTAATTTATTCCATTTAGACGTTAATGAATGCAGCTGCATTCAAAGCGCGCACTATTCAGCGTAATAAAAACCGAGACAAACGATCAGCTGCCTTGGCACCGTGATTCTTCAACTTTCTTTTTTTATATATATTAGATAATTTCTTTTAAAATAAGAAAAACATGATTAAATTTTTTATTTGTTATAACCGTTCTTATAACAACAAAAAAATATATTGCATATTATTGTTCACAATGTCTATTTTAAATTGTAAATAGAGATGAACAAAAAAAAAAATATTATAATTTGCATTCTTAATTGATTAAATTAAAAAATTCGTTTTAACTTGTATTTAATAATAGCAGAAAACAAATTATTTGCACGATATTGTTTCATGTTATTTATATTTTGTATATATGAAATTAAAATATGTATATACGATAAATGGTTAATATCTATTGTACTTGTTATTTGTCAAATTTAATTACTATTGATATGTTGATGAATTTTACTTGATGAATTTTATAAATTTTATTATTATATTATAAATTTATGCGTTCCAATATAAAGAAAATTTAAATTTAATATTCGAGTTATTATTATTATTTTTTGTAACTAATATTTAATTTAGCATATACATAAAATTATATTCTACATATGATTATTCTTATATTAGATGTAACTGCTAAAGTAAGGTAATTGTTAAATATCTATATATATAAATATGTAAACCGGCATTGTACATAATAACATAATTTATGATATAATATAGAAATTCTTCATTATATATTATATGATAAAATAAAGTGGAAATACTTACAATTTCAGTCATTTTATTATGTTATTATTTTTCGTACAATTCTGTATTTAACAATCCACTTTAATCAACTTCAAATAAGCAATAATTTCTTATGTATTTACATCATCATAGTTATGTCAGAAAGTGTAAATACATTATACAAATTGTACGTAATATATAAACTACATAAACGATATACTTTATAAGATATTATTTAGAGATATAATTATATAATCACAATCTGTTATAAAACATTTTTTTTAAAAACTTTTTCCTTTTTTTATGGACATATTATAAATGTAATTTCACCATTTGATCAGCAAATTCTCTTTCACTTAACATGTGCCATCTATAGTTCAATATTCTAGATACTTCTTTTTCTGTATTTTCATAACTACGGCTATTTTTTTGAATCCATTGATAATGTTCCGGTGACCAGTTCATAATTTTTAACCAATCCCCATCACATTTTTTTAAAATTGAATATCTTCGGACATATAAACAACGTAAATTCTTTGCTGTAGATACAATTTCTAAAATGGTGGCCGTTGAAATTTTATCTCGAATCATCTGCAGGGAAACATTTATCGTATATACAAGTCTGATAAATTATGAATTCAAATTACTAAACTTTTTTTATGAGTTAGTTATTTGAAAGGAAGTTATTTGATAAATGTTATTAGCTGTATGAAAGGATAAAAAATACCAAGGAAACCAATCCGTGGATTAATGTAATTGTATGAAGTATTATTCGTTCAAAGACCAGTTATTAACCCAGGCAATTATTAAATGTGTCATGGTAAAATATTTGTCTCCCACTGATTGGCTTCCAAGTCATTGATACAATCATTGATCTGAATTTAAATCTCTTGTCTTATGTACTATTGACAAATCAGTGATATATTGCCACACAACATATGTACATAAATAGATCCATAGAAGCTGTAAAAAATGTTTTTGATATTTTCAATGTGTTTTTTAAAATTTGCATTATAATATGTGATCTAGTTAAATAAAACTTACACGAATAATAATAAATAATTTTGTATAACAAAAATTTGAATGCATGCTATCACACATCATTAAGAGTTTTTGTTAAAATCATAGTGATTTTAAAAAGTGACAATACACATCAGAAATTCAGTCAAACACAAAGTGATACCAGTGTATGAAGGTTTGGACACATTTTGCAAAATTGTACTAGTGCTTCATCCAATCTTTGAGAAAAATTTCTGGGCACAAAATATCTGCTTAGACCTTTAAACGCATACACCTTTATTGTTGATTCAAAAAATGTTCCATGATTAAGAATAGTTGAAGATGAAATCTAAAATATTTAATGTAATTTATTTTTAAATAGTATTTAACAATATCTTAAATATTTTATGAATTCATACTAACCTGTGTATTTGGAATATCTAAAACAATACTGTGACATGGAATATTCCCATGTTCTAATAAATCAATGGGCAAAAGTGTATCTGTAGACTTATGACTTTCCACTTCAAAGTGAACTTTAATGTGAGGATTGTTTCTTTTCATCTTTATCCAAGATTTTCTTGAAGGCTAAATCAATAAAAATTAATTTAATTAAAATATTTAAAATAATATATTTTACATTTAAACTTATAGTAACTATTACCAATCTCACTGTAGCATCTTTTGGACTATAACAATTTTGAACAATATGAAGATGTTGCAATTTAGTATATCCAATTAAATCTATTACATCTTCGTGAAGATTTTGAGGACTAATAACTAATACCTTCAAAATAAAACAAAAATGTTATGTTAAACATTGAATATAGATTTTTGGAAGTTTTTTATTCAATAAAACTTACATTTAAATTAATAAATACTCCTACATGTAAAAGAGGGCAATGATACCTTGTAGTATTAATTAAAACCAATTTTGATAATGTCTGAGTACAATTTGCACAGATATCATCCATTAAATGTAAAGCTTCTTTACTATCTAACATGAGATCTATCAACTCTAAGCATTTCAAATTATATAAATTACGCATCAATCTTTTCAATGCTTCTAATAATTTTCCACCAGTACCAAAAATTCTAATGCTATCAGGATCATCTCTGTTTGCCATGTTACAAGGAAATGTAAATTTAAGTCGTCGAATATAAGTACCAACTCCTGCCACTGATGTATTATCTGATCCTTGTTTTTCAGTGTACCATGATATCATGTTCATAAATTCATAGAGATTATAAAAATTCAACATTGGTTCAAAAACAAGAGATCTAAAATTTCTTCCAACTTTATTCAAACATGTGGAAGTTCTCATATGATCCAAAACATATTGCCAACCGCTATGATAATTAAATTTGCCTCTAGTAAGAGTGGTGTCTTCTAATGTAAACGTAGACCATACTTTTGGTAATTTAAAAGCACGATACCATGACCTACATACCAAAGATGCATAATATCTTTCACGAATAGTTAAATAAGAAAAAATTTCTTCTAAAAGTATATCAGGTGTTTGATCCCAACAGCTATATATTTTATTTTCTTTCTCTTCTTCAGTATTTTCTTCAATGTCTATATATAATGCTATAAAATTAATAAAATAAAATTAATAAACATTTAATATTCTCATTTTTTTTCATTAATTTAATATAAACATGTTTTTAGTTAATATTGAAGTTATAATGAACAATAATAATGTTTACTTATTTAGAATTTTTATTATTTTATAATGCCGATTCATTCACCGGAAAATTTTTTTAAAAATTTATATTGCACTCAACATATAATTATACAATTAATGATTTCAAAAATAAATTAAAAAGATCATTATTATAATACAAAATTAATAGTATGATATAGTATAATATATCATTATTTATGTTTCATTCTATATCTTTTGACATTTATCATTCAATAACCTATTACGTTTTAATGCTCACCTCGATCATCTTCATCAAATTTCCAACAGCCTTTGCTCATTTTCATTATGGGATTATTATCCATATTGTATCAAGGTAAAAGTTTATTTTTTTCTGACGAAGTATTTTCCATGCAATATTTCTAAAAATACACTAAAATTGGAAGGGGACGTCGACTGAACATCTCCATGATGGAACTTAAGATAGGATACTGTTAGATTTTATTCACTATTCTGAATGCTATATTTCGTATCGGTAAAATTTATGATACTATTTGAATCAACCAATCAAATAATATTAGTGACAGTCATAGATTATCAAGAAGATAGAGTTGGCATAATCATTATAAACTAAAACTTCAAATAAACATATTTGCTATAAAGTGTAACAACAATTTAAATATTATTATAATATTATTAGAATGGTTTTGATTAACAATTTATTTATGTTAAGGCAATTAATACAAAATATTAGGTCAGTATTATTATTTTAAATGTTAAAAAAATAAAATATTTTCTTTTTATTAAAAAGATAAGAGAATTGAAGAAAAAAAATTTATTTTATTTAATAGTATTTAATTATTTGTAGATTATTCCATAACTCAAAAATTACAAAAGGTTATGAAGGATCTGGTAAAACTACAATGGATATTCTTAATATTCAAAATAATCAAAAACTTTTAATAAATAAATGTTTACCGGTATAATAAAATTTTATATTATTTTTATTAGATTAACTAATGAAGTTATACATTTTTATTTATTTTTATAGATAGGATTTAAATTGAATGACAATTCATTAATTTTGGGTCCTCTTGCAATTTTTCCTGAAACAATTTTGGCCTGGAATATAGGTTCTACAATGGATATTAATGAAGCCACTTTATCTTTATTCACTATTTTATACCCAACAATAGATCTTTTGATTTTAGGCCTTGAATCTAATTATGAATATAAAAGAATTTTAGAAATAAAAAAAATACTTTTTAAATACGAGATCAAAACTGAGATACTTCCAGTGGAACATGCTTGTGGTATTTATAATTTTTTAAAATCTGATGGAAGATATGTTGCAGCAGGTTTAATACCTCCATTACCTAAAAAATCTATTTCTCATCAGAAGCCACTTCAAAAATCACCTAAACAATTAACTGAAGAAAAAAATTTAATAGATATTTAAATAATTGAATACTAAAATTCATAAGTTTATATTGATAATAATATAGTAATTTATATGATCATTTATATAGATTAACAATATTATATTAATGTAAATGTAAAAAATTTGTTAAAACAATAAAAGTAGAAATTAATTATATAAAGTACTTAATTTTTAACAAAGAAAAATAAGGTTATACTATTAATATAACCTTAAAAGAACATAGTAGCAATCATAAATACGATCATGTGTAAATGTAATATTTACATGAAAATATAATTGTTTAATAATTAAAAAGATAAAATTCCTATAAAATATATATATAAATTTAATATATAAATAATATTTTTTATAATTCGAAATTTTATAATTATACTTTTTGTGTAATACTTTCTGTAAACTATTTCACAAATAATCAATTTTTTACACGCGTTGAGGAATCATCAAATTTGGTAAATATAAATATACAAAAATATTCATTATACAAATATTTATTAAATATTCATTATATTTTAATGAAACATTATAAAAAAAGAATGAATAATCTGAAAAAAGAAAAAGTAATTCAAGAAAATATGATAGCAAAAAAAATAAAGACTGAAAAAATAACTCCAAAGATACAATTTCTAAACAAAAAAAGACAAACAAAGAAAAATTTAAAAAAAAAATTAAATACAGTATATGTTAATCAAAAAAAAGAAGAAATGGTAAAAAAAATTAAATCAAAAAAAAATGTTAAACCTATTATATATGATATAAAAAATGCATTTAATAATGTTAATCATTATAAAAATACTGAGAATAAGTCAAGATTATCTGAATGTGGTTTTTTTTGGAATGAAATACCTATCTTAAATTTCTGTGAAAATAAAGAATCATCCAGTGACAGTGAAGATGAAATAGAGCAAAAATCAAAACAGAAAAACAAGAAATTAAATACTATTGAACGTAGAGAACAAGAAAAGCAAAAAGAACGTGAAATTCGTCAAAGGGAAGAAGCATTAGCTAGTAACCAATTACCAAATTCTGTAGATCAGTTTGACAGATTAGTTTTAGCTAGACCTAATAGTTCAATAATTTGGTTGCAATATATGGCATATTATTTACAAACAACAGAAATTGAGAAAGCGAGAGCAGTTGCAAAGAGAGCAGTAAAGACAATTAATTTCAGAGAAGAAAATGAAAAATTAAATGTTTGGAATGCCTGGTTGAATTTAGAATCAAAATTTGGTACTTCTGAATCATTAAATGATGTTTTTCAAGAAGCAGTGAGAAATAATGATTCGTTAAAGATATACACCCATATGTTGATCATTCATGTTGAAGCTGATAGACAGATTGAATTAGAAAAAACAATTAATATTATAATTGGAAAATTTAAACAAATTCCTGAAACATGGATCAATTGTGGAGAAGCATTATTAAAAATTGGTTTGAAAGATAAATCAAGGCATATTATGCAAAGAGCATTGCAATCTTTACCAGCATCTGAACGTATGTACAAATATATTATTAGATAAAAAGTAAAATAAAGTAATAATACAATATTAATTTTGTAGATGTGAACTTAATGGTAAGATTTGCAATTATGGAAAACAAATTTGGGGATAAAGAGAGAGCACAAACATTGTTTGAACAAATTTTGAGTTCCTATCCAAGACGAGTTGATATATGGTCTTGCTATGTTGATTCTTTAATTAAATCTAATGATATTGATATAGCAAGGTAATAATACTTTAACTTTATTAATATCAGTTTTAATTTTATTTTATTTTTTATTTAATAGTAATTTAATAATAATAATAATTAATAGTATATTAATTTTATAATGAGATAAAAATATTGTACAAAATTTTATAGGAGAGTACTTGAAAGAACAGTTATTCAAACGCTACCTCCAAGAAAAATGAAAATTTTATTCAAGAAATTTATTAATTTTGAAGAACAATATGGTACTCAAGAGAATGTAAACCATGTTCAACAAATGGCTGCAGAATATGTAGAAAGACAATGTAATAAAGATTTAACAATATAAATTATAAATTATAAATTATAAATAAAACATTTTGATATATATTTTTTATATCAAGTCAGTGAAAATTTAGTTGTACAAAACTCAAGAAAATTTGATTTCAAGGTTAATATTTTTATAAATTATTTACATTTACTTTTTCAAAATTTATTACTATTTTTTTTATTTAAAAATATATTTATTATTAAAATTGAAACATAAATTATTAATTGATAATATAATTGTTAATTACTATTAATTAATTATTTTAATCATTCAATCTGTGAAATTAAATGTCAAATAAATTCGCGGGATTAATGTAATTGGTGATTCGAATTGTGCCGTGGCAGCACTGGTATCAAAATTCCTCCCTAGCAAACAAAACGGCATTTTCTTCTGCGCTAGCGCAGAATGCGGTAGTCGCGGAAGCGATGACTGTCAACGCGGAAATCGGTAGTCTTGTAATCGCCATATTGTTTGCACACACGTTGTGTTAACGATTCAGTAGTGATAATCTCGTGGTGTCGCAAGTGTTTGATAAGCCACGAGAGGGAAGTGTTGAAAGAAAGGTAAATAACTCGAGCCAGAGCTCCGAGGCGGCGAAACTGTCGTTCTGAATCGTGTTAGATTTATCCAGTAAGAACCATCGTGACGTGATCGACATAAACCGTGTTGTAAATCGATCGTGTCTCGAAGCTGTCCGTCATACGATTAATTCCTTAGCTCAGACACATCAAAAGTTTCAAGTATTCGTTACGGTGACGTCATCGACAGTTCTGAGGGATGGCCCGTGCTTACAAGCATCGCGACGCATCGCCTCTCCTCTTTTTATCTCCGTAAAATCGACCAAGAAACGTAAGCTAAATTCTTCGCGTACACGACGACATGATCGAAGAAACACGAAAGTGTTCATAACACTGACATTTCCTAGTGAAATCGTTTATACGTACACTTTGGACGAATTAATCGAGTGAAAACCTACTTATATAGAGGCATCAGGCCGTGAGTATTTTTTATTTTTTAGTGAATGATTCATATGTATGAAATACGATTATATATACTTATCGTGGATTTTAACTTTGGAACATGAGAAATGCCAGACTGTTCAAACGTATCTTTCTCTTTCTTTTCCTTGTCATTTTTCTCTCATTTTGTCTTTTTTCCTCATACGTTTATCTCCTTTCTTTTCCTATTCTGTGACCAATTTACTATCTCTTTCTCACTTTCTCACATTTTGGTCTCGTGAATACGGGGTTAGGTTACAAATCGAAACAGCTCGATAAAAATATTCAAAGTAGTATCCAAAAATGCTTTTGCATATTTTCTATGATATCATATCATTTTGAGACAAAATTATTATAAATATTTAAAAAAAAAAAGAAAATAAATAAAAATAAGTGGTATATAGTGATATAGTGATAGTTAAGAAAAAATTAATAAGCTATTTACATTGAATTATGATAAAATTTTCAAATTACATACTTTGAATTCTACGAGGAATTTTGAATTTTAATTTTTAAAATTCATATGATTATCGAAATGATTTAAAAAATTGAGTTAAAAAAAAATTAAATATGATAAAAACAAAATATACAATTATAATATTTTTTGTATGTGACTCAATGCTACATAATATAAGTTTAATTACAAGTCTAGTTTCATTAATGAAGCTTAACTTTTTATTATTAAATTTATTAAATTTACTTCTTTTATTGTTTATTAATTTTTTATATTTAATTCATGACAATATATACGAATATTGATATACGAAAAAATTGAAGAATTTCGAGAAGAAATGCAAGATGGCGATTTCTATTTCATATTCCCGTATTTAAATAATAAACAAATGATATTCTTATTTCTTATATTATTTCTTTTTTCTCTTTTGTTTTTCTTTTTCTCTCTATATGAAAAACTATAAAGTTCGATTACATGATCGGTTTCTATCGGACGATTCTTTTCTCTTCTACGGAAGAAACGTCATTTTTTCCGTATTGAATATATATATCGTATTATCTTATGTAATGCAACGAATAATGTATGATATATATATATGTATGTATGTGTATATATATATATATATATATGCATATATAACTACAAACCATAAGAGAATTTTATCGGTTTTATTAATCATGTTATAAGGTACAGATGTACGCAAACTAAAAGCATCACCACGTGCACGAGTATCTGATTATATGTCTATTTTGATATATATGTTTCTATATATTTCCTTGTGTATCATGAATTTTAGAAGAAACATAATCACATTTGATTCTTAATATATTTTTTTCTTAATTACAAGATGATTTAAGATAATTCATTATTCTAAAATATATATATATATATTTTGATCTTTTTTTTCTAATAATAGAAACCTGTTTTTTGCCTTTTATTTACTTTTTCTTTATATTTATAATTTAAATGGGAGGGGAAAAAAAATAAAAAGTATTAATATAGTGTTATTGTACACTACATAAATGTATGACATTATCATCATTGACGATGATTTGAATGCTAAAAATGCTAAAAGACATGTTTCGCCGCGTTTTCGTTGCGTAAATGTATAATCTGCTCTGCCAGGGATCCACGTGTACTGATTCCCATGATGTAATAGGCGTGATCAATTGATCGAATAATGCAAAAACTATTTTATTCTATTTAAACTATTTTATTTATTTCGTCATCTGTATTTCGAATTAAATCTAAATTATGTAAAATTATTATTGTAAATTCTATATCATAAATATTTAAACGTAATTAAGAAATAATAATTTATGAAGTAAAAATATAAATTAATTTTAATCAGTCTTGATTATTTTGAAGAAATATCTTTCTCTTGTAAAAATTTTTAAAAATTTGTAAAGGATATTTGAAGATATTGAATATAATTAATAAAATCATGCTTCGCGAATTTACTAGCGTGTTCGTATCATAAGATTAGTTACATAATTTCCAATTGTGCTCTTTATGTGATTATGTAACTGCGTTATTGACTTTGCGAAACGTAAAAGATGACCCGTGTAATTCTTTACTTAATTTTTCCACAAAATAGTTACATACGCAATAATTTTTTTCTTTCATTTTATTTTTGATTTTCTAAAAATTAAAAATAAATTTATATCATTTAGTTATTTATCATATATATATATATATATATATATTAAAAATATTATAAACATATTCCATGATTTAATAGGAGGATTTAACAGAAAGTAAATAATTTTATTTGTTATACTTCAAGGAAATTTAAGACGTTTTTCATATTGGTTTTGCGCGTCTGATGTATTCCGGTGAAAACTGGGATACTTGCCAAAACCGAGGAAAAAATGTGACTGCTTTCTTGATGCTAGATATTTGGCAAAGATTTGGATTCTTTTCCTGAACGATGCACGCGCGATTTTGTGCCATCATTAATTTTAAAAATAAAATTATAATTAGTTCAATTAATTATTGTGATAAAAAATCCTATACATTTTAAGTAATATATTTAAAATAGGATTTACTTAACTTGTGATGTAATTCCTTTTTTTAATTCTAATGTAGGTAATGTAGTTTCCTTTTCTTAATTCTTAACAAATATCATTTCTTCTTTTTAACAAATATCATTTTTTATCAGTCTTTTAATCATTTAAAAAAAATTGCTAACCGTAATATTTCGATTAAATTTAGAATCATCGGAATTTATTTTCGTTAATTGATTAATTCAATAAATACATCATATTATTATATATTTGTATGATATGATATAATGACATTGTTTCATATTCTACTTAAATCTCCTGCATAATTATTTTAATTTTATTTTTTATTCGAATTTTTTATTCAAAATTTACATAAATATAAATAATAGATTTTAAAAAAAATCGATTTCTAGAGAAATTGAAAGAAAAGAAATTAACAATATTATATTGCTATATAAAAATAAATATAAATAAAACATTAAATAAAACGTCAAATAATTAAAATATTTATAATTGTGTTATTTTTATGATTTTTATGATTTTGCACTATTATGTGCTAATAATTTATTAGATTTTTTACGAATTTAACTTGGTCAGTATTGTTATAACATAGTTAAAACAATAATACTTGTTCAAAGCAGAACGCGTACTTAACCTTTCTTCTTCTTCTTCTTTTTTTTTTTTTTTTTTATCAGCTCAAGGTCAGTTTGCTTTTTTTAGCACGACCCAGTAACCTCTGGCATTTCTTCATTTTGTATTCTCATTCTTCTTTGCGGAATTTGACAGTTGGAGTATCGACGGTAATATTCCTTCTTCCCTTTGTAATTTATTCTACACGAAGACTAAGCGGATCGATATTCGGTTGATCGCATAACGCAATGCGGTTTCCGTTTCCAACGTTATATGAAGATTCGTTATTTCTTTGTGAACACCAAATAGATTCTTCTATAGAGAAAAAAAAAGGGACAAAGTGAAGTAGTTCGCACAAAATGCAAGGTTGACGCAGAAACTGAAAATCAGTATGTTTTCTTTGTTCTTTTGAAAAGAACAGAATGCTTATCGATTTAATTTTTGATGTAATTATATTTGTAATATATATCATTTGAATTATTTAGGATTATTTTAATTCATATATTTGAAGTCAGATATGAAGATTAAAGCGTATTGAATTTTGAAAATGGAAAAAGTCCGATAATTTTATTTTCATGTAATTTAGATTTTTTGAATCAGATTATTGTTATACAAATCACATTGTAGATTCAAGTTTGTTGTATTTCGAGAGATATTTTTATTGCTTAATTCTTTCAAAAGTCTTCTTATCTAATGTTCTCAAGTGGCTGATATTTTATGATTATGAAGTTACACCAGTTTCTTCGTATTCAATAACAAAATCTATTTACAAATTTAGCAATCGATCTTGATAGAAATCAATAATAAATTTAGTTCATCTCTTAAGTATTTCAAATTATTCAAATATATTTACTATCACGTTTAAGTTGGTTACGCAGAATTTATACTTATCAAGTGCTTCTCTCTTAAATCCTCCTCAAACTCGAGTAATCATCAATCGGTAACTACATTATCTTTGGTAAGAAAAAAACATCCTAACAATAGCATTAGAATCATGCAAACAGGTTTAAATTCTTCTCGGGAAAGCTCAAACGCACGCTCGAAATATCTTACGTAGACTATATCAGCATTTTAGAAAATTGTTTAAAAATTATCTCAGTCGATACACTGACCAATCTCTCTTACATTGTGTTGGAATTCAGGAAGGGGTTTCTATAGAAGAAAGAAAGAGAGAAAAAGAGAGATTGTGAGACTGGTGACCCGGGTGCAATGTCGTATCACCGTGGGGGCCAGGCGGGCGCCGTAGCAGTTTCGTACAGCACCAGTCCAATGGCACCGCATTCTCCTAGCAGACGATGTTCCAGCAATAACAGCGGCAACAACAGTTCCGCTATTGGCACCTCCACCTCGAAGCTGAACACCTACAGATCTACTGCTTCCTCGTCGATCTTAGATCGACCAACAAATTTCTACTCGACATCGTCGTCGACGTCATCGTCGTCGGGCAGCTCGGGCTTTCGTTCGAACTATACGACCGAATACAGGCGATCCTACTGCCCATCAGGCAGGTGAGTTTCTTATCCTCTTTCGACAAATTCTTTCTTCTCCATGTGTGTTCCTCCTGTTCAGGATTCTGTTAATGGATTCCAGGGATCGGCAATCACGTGCAGTTTGGTTGGAATTTAGGAACAAAGATGTCTAACCCTTTGTTGACTATTAATTTTAAATAATGATATACGCTTCAAAATATTTTCTGATGTTTTATTATTATCTGATTTATTGGTTGAAAGTATATTAATTGTATTTGTTCTATGAAATGTTTAAGATATGTGCGCAAAGGGTTGGTTCTTTCGGTGAATATGTGGAATATTGATACTGAAAAGATGAAAATTGAAAGAAGTCTAATAAAGAGGAAAGTTAGTCAAAGAAGAAGACATTTTATTACCGTCGATACTCCGTTCATGGATGAATGTACTTCCCTCAATTATTCTTCTTCTCAATTATTTTGTCTCTTTGGATCATTAAGATTGTTTTCTTTATTACTTGAATGATCTTTAAAAAGCGATTGATTGACACCAAGGGCATTATGTACATTTGATATCGCATAAAAATTAAAATTAAATTCATAATTACCAGCGTGCTGCCGATCCTGAATTTCCTGACAATATACGAGATAAAAGAATTGTTAATTAAATGGTTGATACTCGATCGGCCCTACAGTTTCTACTCATCGACGGGTACGAGCATCCGAAGGAGTTACTTATCGGAATACAACCGGTCTCGCTGCTCACCCACAAGGTGAGCAATCCCCATAAACAGGGGTATAAGGCAGTCGGAGTCAGTAGCTACAAGATCAAGGCCTCGATAAGTTTTTATCGATTTTATGCATATTTCCTTGATTTCTCCCATTTCCAGTTATAATTTGATTAAATATTATTATCTCTCTCTGGTTTAACGCTCTGCCGATTTGCTTTTTTTGACATTTATTTTTGTGCTAGTATCGTAATATAACGAGAATGATCCTAAATTAAGGAATCAAATAATAATAATAACAGTATATGTAATTTTGTATAAGTTTTCTTTCAGTGTATTTTAAATTTTACAATATATATTGAACTAAAGATAAATTATACCTGTAATTTTAATTAAGGCGTTGGATTCTTACTTTCTCTAAGTTGTTATTAACTTACTTTCTGAAACATTGAAATACATATATATATAATTTTTAATAATTGATCGATTTATTAATATCTATCACTAATAATTTTTATTTATTTTTCTATTATTTATTTTCAATATTGCACGATCAATAATATAAATGCTTAAATGCACAATCGAAAATATTGAATGAAATTTAAAAATTTTCTTCAAATTTTTGTGCAGTTGCTCATATAGAATGTGCAATCTTATAACCTTGCTATATCATAAAGATTCTATTTTTATATAACATATTAATATATCTATATAAAATAATGCAAAAGTAACATAAATTGTTTCTTTTTATTTAGATTTCTAAAAAAAAAATGCCGTGTAGATATGTATTTAAGTTAAAATTTTAAATTTGTTCTGCTTTATTTCTGCATCATCACTTTTTGTATATATTTGTTATATTTTAACTTTTAATAAAATTAAATGCAAATATTATTTATATCCTTGATGCTTGATGCATGACTAATAGCCACATTTAGAATGAAAATTTTCAAATGTTAGGAAAAAAAATATCTGGTAACGATTGCTGAGAGTGCTAATTATATTGTGCTGTCGGCAGAGCGTTTAAAGCAACATCAATTCTTGTTGCTCAAAGAGTATGTAATTATTTCGAGACGATAAAATTCCCTCGATCTTCTCTTCCTTTCTATCTACTTTCGTGTCAATTATGTTTTTCTATTGCGTAGAATATGATTAGAAACTTTGTATTAAAATAGTTATGGGATGCATATTGTAAACATATCATATATAGTGGGCAACAGGTATTCCGACAACACCTTTTTACAATGCGTCAATTACTTTTGTCCGTGTCACAATGATCCAATTAGGGAGGTGCGGCACATAAGTCCCTATTTCTATGGTATGGTCGAGCTGACGGCAAAGGTCGAGGTCGATGGTAAATAGGTACAAACTTGCATTGGCAGTCTCAGAACTAGTTATATATAATTCCACGGGAAATCTTGTCTGTCCACTTGCCCCTGATGCAAGATGATATGTATTTTGTTATGTCCTTTGAACTAAAAATTTATCCTTTTTTTAAATGTAACATTAAATATAATAATTAGAGTTTTCAGATTTGTTAATCACATTGTAACTAAAAAACACATAAAATTCGAATAACAATAATTATTTATTATCCTTTATTTTTTGGATTGATTTTTGACATATTATAAAATTCTTAAAATTGGATATAGTTTTTTTTTCTAATTTCTATTTTCAAAGTTTTATCTGCTAATACATAATATCACCAAATTGTTTGATGGAATATAATATAATATCTGGTCATCTCGTAAATACATTGGAAATTCATATAAATCATTATTAAATGTTATTATATTATTATTATTAATTATTAAGCATAAGAAATTAGTGCAACAAAATAGGAAAAAAATCTATTACAAATATTGTAACATACTTGTACAAAATTTTCAAATTGTTTGACTAATCAATGTTTAACTTAATATAAAAATGTCTAGAAACTAGTTCAATCCCCATGACATGAAACAAGAAAATAAACAATCACGTGAATATAAATACACATCGGACAGGTTGATCGCGATTGACACGATGGAAGCGTGGTGGAAGACCTTGACCTCGCTTCGAATTGTCTTCTGGTGCAACGTGTGGCGAGACAAAGAGAAAAAAACATTTACTTTCTCTTCGACATCTCGTCTCATTTTACCGCAATAAGATATCTAGCGCACGTGTTCGCGCGCGCGAAAGATGCGTATATATTTTAAATATCTAGTGCGTGTTCCCGACACTATTTCCAAATCCACGAACGGTGCCACGTATCTGATTTAGTAACCTCCAAACCTCAAAGAAGATCTGGTCAGCATGTAGGCCAGCGACATCGACCTATCCGTTCATATATCGATTTTTTTTCCCCTCTATTCCATCGAGAGAATTATTTTTGTACTCATGGATCATTTTATATTTTTTTAATCTTCCTATTCTTGAGATTTGAACAGTTCTTTGTTGAAACAGTTTTGCATCCTTCTGTTAATATTTGTATGAATAACGAGGATTATTTGATTTTAGAAGAAGAGTATATTTTAGAAATATACTCTAGTCGTAGAGATATTAAAGTATTTTCGTAATTGAAAAAGAAATTCGTGTTAATAAATTAATAAAATTTGCTTCTTAATTTATTTCATTATTAATTATTACTAACGCACACATACAAAGAAATTGCTTATTCATTTAGTGTGATTTGTGGGTGCGTGTGTTTATGAACGTGTTTCCCATTGTTGGCCGGTGATTACGTAATTCGAAGAAAGAGAGGGTAGTCCTTGGCCGCGGGCCCAGCCAAATGAAAAGGATGTTCGCAATATTCACATTGACTGAACGTTTGCAGGTCAGTTTCGTCGTCGGCATACAGCAGTACGGGTAGCGGTAGTGGTACAGCTACGAATGTGACGACAAACGGAACCAGTGGCACTAGATTCGGCTTGTCTACATCGTCGTCCTCATCGAGCATCTCTGCCGGCAGTTCGTCCAGAGATAGAGGGATCCCAGAATCCTCGTCTAGACTAGAAATAACGGCGGATTTGATCAGGTATTCGCCATCTGGTTATATACCGAATATCCGTCAAACGAGCAGCACCACTGGCAGCACTAGTGGAATCCATCATCATCATCACCATCATCATCAGTGGAAGCATCATTCGACCGGTTCGTCGTTGACGGAGTTGTTCGGTGGTGACGATCGTGATATAGCCGTCGAACGTACCGGCAGAGATCATCGTCCGGAGTCGTCGCTCTCCTCGTCCTCCTCGTCATCTTCCTGCGCCGTTGGTGGTGCACTCTGGTCCAGGTCGAAGAGAAGGCCACTGTCCAGCAGCACGGTGCTCAACAGCGGGCATGCACGCGCGGACAGTGCCGCGTCGCCTGGCGAGGTAACGATTAACGAGCGCGGCACGATCCGCGATCTAGACGAGGACGACGACGATGACGATGACAACAACGATGACGAGGACGATAATAACACCGACGACGATCAACACAACAACAACGGCAATAATGGGAATAACAGCGGTGGTGCTGAGGACACTTGTGATTCCGGTCGATATGGGCTAAACAATAACAACCGCGACCGAGACCACGACCACGACCACGACCACGACCACGACCGCGACAGCGATGACAAGGACGATGACGACGAGGACGACGAAGACAACAAGCTGAACAACCGGCATCATCGCCAACAACAGCAGCAGCAACGCGGTGCTGCCCATCGGATCGACGAGGTTTCACCAGCTAAGCGTAACCTCTTGTCGTCTATTCCCGGTGGCGGTGCTGGCGGTGCTGGTTTGATCGGTGTTAAGCTCGACTTGCTCACTAACCTAGCCACTAATCCGAGTAACGGCGAACTGCTGATTAACAACAACGCCCAGAAGATTATCCAAGGTGTTGAAGAAAAAGAGGAAGACGTTGAGATCAAAGACGAGACTGGTGGAAGCCGTGGTGAGGTAATACACGGGATCAACGACGCTGCCATCTCTATCGACGCGATTGCGTTCCTTCGTGGTGGTCGTACCGGGGATCCAGAGAGTCTTGAACACGGTGAGGAGCAACGGACCGCGTCTACTTCGTACGATATCGATCAGACCGGGTTCGTAGGCGGCATTACGCCGCCCATCTTGCAAAACGGCGTGGCGGGAAGACCGTCCGGTACTTATGGGGACGACCCATCCGTGCCTTCTACATCCAGGAGACCGGATGGTCACTTCTCGGGGACAAACACTGCCAGTAATCTGACTTCCTCGTCACCCACTGCACCGTCCACGGCTCACCAAAATCTCTATCGCGGGGTCGCCGATCAGTTTGTGAGTGTTCCTAAGTAATTTTCGTTAATTATTCAGTGGATGGATATCATAGTCTCTTCTCATAAAACTTTTATTTACCAGAATCATCGATAAATGTGTGTTCTAAGAAAGAGTATAATTTGCACAGTATATATATTCATAGTGCACTAAGTTTCAATTGAGTTCTGCAATTTTTTTTTTTAAGTATTTTATAGATATTTTTCCATTTTTCAACATCTCTTTTTCTATTTTAAATCTTTTATTTCATTCTAATGTTCTATTATTAAAAAATATCTGTCATTCAATGGCAAATAGTAATACTAAACGCGGCCAAAAACGTACCACCATCTTTTCAATATATATTTATGTGTGCGTGGTTATGACGCATCACTGTATTTCATGACTCGCCATTTTTTCGACTTATAGAGAGTTCAGTGGCTCGTAGCGACACCTTAGTGATATATATATGCACACACACACACGCGCGCGCGCGCGCACACACACACACACAAAACTCAAATACATATAAAATACATAATAGTGGTGGTAAATGGAAAAGGAGGGACAACGTTACGTTGAAACGTTAGCTTATGTATGTACTTTCATTGCTCGTTTAGTATGCGTGTTACGAAACGCGTTCATGTTTTTCTTCGAGCACACACAACTCTGTTCGATGGTTAGTCGCGAGAGCTGCTTTTTATTAATAGATCGGAGCTCTCCGGGAAGGGGAAAGAGAGAGAGAGAAAAAGAGAGAGTAAACCGGCGATCAACGGATGTCTCATAACATAACGGTACCTAGTAATAACGGGTGTTCTGTGTCGGAGTACTTATGCGTATATATATACATAGTACAAGTTTATCTTGGTTCATCCGCTGCTAGAAGCTACACCATTTCTGCGTGGGGAATGTCAGTGAGCGATATGCATCTCTTCACGACACGAGCCATCTCTATCCTCAATGACAACGAATAGTGTGCCAGTTCTGTATGGCCATGAAGTGAGAGAAAACTATCTAAATAGGATATCTTTGAATATATACGAAGAAATTCGCATTTAACAGCAGAAAGTTTTGTTCGATTTGCACTGTGATTATTTGATTTTCGTGCCGTTTTTAAATCTCTATTTTCATAAATTTAAAATATTTCTAACAATATGACAACCATTTGTTCGTTAAATATGTCTCGCAATGTAGTTGACATAAATGAATATGAAGACAAAAAAAAATTGAGTATAAATTACTTGATACGCAGGAACTGGCGCTTCTTGAAATGCGTCATGCAGTCGAGTTATAACGTGTAAACTGGCTTATATCCAATTGATAGGCTGGGGGTTGTGGTGCGTGTGGGTAATAATTATTTTGCTGTTCGTGTACGCGTTCCTGCTGGGTGTTGCGGCTCCTCTGACGACCCAGAAACATGTCTCTTCCGGTGTGTATACAATACAGTTCGGCAATTCCATAGTGACCACGCGCGCTACTCTCCAGCCTCCAGCCATTTGTTTAAAGGTGAGTATCCATGGAATAAAGAAAGAGATAAAAAGAATATACTTAGTTTCGGGCAATGATATCGATATGTCGTTGTGCACTGTTTTTTCACGGTTATTCAACCTGTTAGATATTTACGCTGTCTTTCCTTTTCTGAATATATTATATTGGACATACATTTGGAACAAACCATACGCTGAGATTAAATACATCAAAAAATGTACGTACTGTGTGGAATTTCTTATCTTTTAAAACCAATGATGCATAATTACTAATCTATGTAATCTGTCTAAAGCTAATCGATTTTTCTGAATAGCACGTATTCTTAAGGTTATATCGACTTCGTGGTATATGTGTGCGTGTGTTTATATGTATGTGTGTATCGTGTGTGTGTATACGTACGTGTACATGTATTCATATGACATGCTCTTGTACCGCAAGCTAGACACCGCCACCATTAAAGAAATATAACTAGCCGTGCTTAGAACAGCGTACGCGACGATATTTGACGGTTTTTGTCTTCTGTAAAGTCTTCTGTAGAATCCTACAAAAATAAGATTAGATTTAAAAAAAAATAACATTGATTTCTATCTTACAGGAAGGAAGCCCTACGAACAAATCGGCTCGTAATCGATTACAGGCGCATCGCGATGAGCGATGTGGACTAAACGGATTACGAAATATCGGGAATACAGTAAGTATATGGACTATATATATTTATGAATAAATTAAGAATTATGAATATCGAAAATTGAAATTGATTCTTATTTTTTTAATAAATTTTTTTTATAAATTTTTACAGCTGTTTCCAATTAACGATTAATTATAAAAGAACAAATTTTTTTATTAATATTTTTATTTTGCAGTGTTTTATGAACAGTGTGATCCAATGTTTGAGCAATACGAGACCATTACTGGAATATCTGCTGAACGAACAGTACCTCGCTGATATAAACACTACCACAAGTAGTATGAAAGGAGCATTGATCAAAGCGTTTAGTCAGGTGATACATGAGTTATGGGAAGTGGGTGGTGATCTCGTGGTTAATACGACGGCGCTCAAATCTCAAATACAAAGATTCGCACCACGTTTTATGGGATATAGTCAACAGGATGCTCAAGAGTTTCTTAGGTATCTATTAGAAGGATTACATGAAGATGTGAATAGGGTGACGGTAAAACCACAACCAATACACACGGATATTCCTGAAATGTACACGTAAGTGAATTTTTAATTTTATCTATGAAGAGAACATAAGAAAGAAATTTGATGATTAATTAAGATTTCTATTATACACTAATTTTTATTTCCTTTTATAAATAGAGATAGTCAGAAGGCAGTAGAAAGCTGGAAACGCTACTTACGTAGTGAAGATAGTATGATAGTGGACGTTTTCGTTGGTCAATTACGTTCGTCGTTACATTGCACTTCTTGTGACCATGTGTCAGTCACATTAGATCCTTTCTGGGATCTCAGTTTGCCAATACCGGCTAGAAGTGGTACAGTGAAGTTGAGCCAATGTTTGGAGCATTTCACGCGAGAAGAGGTGCTCGATGGCGATGAAAAACCGACTTGTTCTAAGTGTCAGATGAGGAGAAAGTGCACGAAAAGTTTCAGCATACAAAAGTTCCCGAAAATTCTTGTTATTCGTATCCTTTTTCTATAATTTAAATCAAAGTTAAACAGAAAATATATAAGTTCATTCAATTTGATTTACTATCAACTATTACATTGTAATAGTTAATTCAAGTCTTTTTAATATTTTTTTAATATCCAAAAATAAGATTGTATTATTTTTTTCATTATTTCCTTAATGAAATACATTACAGACTTAAAACGTTTCTCACCAATGGAACGATTCCGCAGCAAGCTAAATGTGATGGTAGATTTTCCATTGACAGGTTTGGATCTCAGTGCCTTTGCTGCGCCTAGAGTTCCGGGTTGTACGTACAATTTATATGGTGTCGCGAACCATTCGGGCACAACACACTCCGGTCATTATACAGCATATTGTAAGCATCCATACTCGGCAGAATGGCACGAGTATAATGATAGCCGGGTGTCCGCGGTTCCAGCGCGATCGGTCGTTTCCAACGAAGCCTACGTACTGTTCTACGAGCAGCAGCCTCACAGCTCTCACTTGTAACCTTACGCCATGCTTAGAATATGAAAAAAACGACCATCTTGCCTCTCAATACCTCAGTCCAGCATATAGTATAAAAAAGAAAACCGACAAAGAGAAAAGAAAAAATTAATAATAAGTGAAACTATACTTTATCGTGTGGTATTGAAAAGCGACTAAACATTGAACGTTGAGGTCGTTTTTATCGAGTATAAAAAACGGATCGTGTGTGTATTGTGTGACTATTGGCGATAATCATGTTCCATTAAAGCCAAAATTTTGTTTTTCTTCGTGGTTAGATATATTTCATCGTGGTCCAGTCATTTTTACTTCGGCTTCTTTAGAAACCAGACACTTTAGTGCATTTTCCGATACAGAGGTTTATTATAAATAGTCCTCTAAAAGTTAATAAGATGCTTAATATGAGCAAACATTTTCAGAAGTTAAAGTTACAAGCAGAAGATCGTACCAGAATCCTGGAATTGTCATTTTTTGAATTTTCATCACTTTTTTTCTTACACTTTTCCCTATTTTTCTCTATATAGTTTCTTTACTTTTTTTGTATGAAATAAATAATCATGTTTCAAAAACGAGATTTGCCAGATAGATTTAACATAAAAAATATAATACATAATACATATAGTATATTTGATATTTGAAGTAATATGAACAGAAAATCATGACTTCGCCAAAGATCACGTATACGGAATAAAAAAAAGCGCTTCGGATGTCTAGTTACTTTTGAATAGACGATATAGTAAAAAAAAATACATCTATCCTCACTCCTTCACTGAACACCTGGCAATCTACAGCTATTTACTTTTGTAAAATATTTTGTTTAATAATATCATAGTCAAGAGTTATTTATTTAATTTATGGAAAGAAAAACTGATAAAATATTAATATATTCGATATGGACGAATATAATATATATAAATATATATTATTATACGTATTACATACCAATAAAAAATAACAAAGATTAAGGGAAAAAATGAACAAATCAAATGGTTTTTCTTGTGTCGTATTATAGTTTCCGTTCTTACCTCTACAAAAAAAAAAAAGAAAAAGTATCAACGTTAGTAAATTGATCATATTCAGGCAATCGAAAAAAGAAGTCTTAAGCAATGAGTCTAAAAAAATATATTTAAAAATATTATATTTAAAAATTATACATTTTTTTTTCTATTTGTTTATCTATAAAAAATATTTCATCATTTGGAATTTACGAATTTTTAAAAATTGAAAATCGCATTCTTAATATAGCTTCATTAAATAAACTCTTCAAAAAACTCAATAAATTTTTTGATATTAATAAATTATATAAAATTTTTCACCAATTATTCGATTTCCATTGTAAAAATTGTTATCACAAATATTGAATTATTGTACATTATGAATCTTCCAATCAAAATGTCCTTTTTATCCTTATTAATTATTCAAAAATTTCATAGGAAAGATCAATGGAAAATTAAAGTGAATTTTTATCATATTTAAAATATTCTTTTTGAACAACATAAAATTATTTATTATTAAATAATATAAATTTCATTATAAATATGACTAACATTATGTTTTTTATTTAACGTAAAAATGATATAAATTTGCGATTTTTTAATCAATAATTGCGCAAGCGCAAAGTATCTATCAGACATGAATCTTGCTTCTCAGTCAATTCGCGACAATCGTGATGCGAGATTCGCGATACAGATGGCGATGTTGCGCTTGCTAAACAAGTTTGCCACGCGTGCCGGCGAAATAGTGGAAATCGTCGTCTCGTTGCCGGTTCGTGTTCGTCAGTTTCCCCTTCGTGCACATATATGTCTGTGAATTGTGGTATGCGCTGGACATGCAGCCCATATACATGTACACGTGCCCCGGGGGGTAGGGTTTCTAGATCCCTTGTTCTTTCCGTCGCGAAAAGAAGGGCTTTTTGCAATCGACTGCCAGTCTGTGTGCCTCGAATTCGTGAAGGAGACACGGTTCGAGTATGTGAATTTGACGATACGTGGACAAATAGTGTAACTTCCGTTGTAAAGGATTTCTGAGTTACATGTTCTTTATTTTACGTGAATTCCTGCGAAAAAACTTGCTTATTCGCGAGTGATATTAATGCATCTGATGCAAATTGTTCATTAGATTGTTGAAATAGCCTGATTGATGTCTCGAAATTTGGATTCGAGAAAGAAATTTACGATCAGTAGTGATGAGAACAAAGTATTCACGAGCAATGGCCGATATTCAAGAAATTATTGACTGTCTAAATCTATACGTTAGTACAGAAATATATTTCAAATACATATTCGAATTTTTGATATTTCTACAACAATTGATAAATCCTACCTCAAAATTCTGTATACATCCTCGTTAAAACTGCTATTTTTTTCTTTTTATTTATTCTTTGATTGAGGCAATGTTTATTTCATTCACAAATAAACTTAAAATTGAAGAGTGTTCTAAATAAATTATATGAAATTCATGTGAATATTTGTGACGGGTATGCCGATTTGGCGGTACGTCCCTGGTCCCCGTCGTAGAGGCAGAGAGACACGACGACGACTGGCCGAAGAAACGAGAAAAGGCACCGGGTATGTGTGAGGGCAGTGATCTCTCAGGGAGCGGCGACCTGACGTACGAACGAACGGTGTGTGATAGATATAGGATACATACTTACTTCATCACGTTTTTTTCTCTGCTATTTCCTATGTCATTGGATTTTCTACATACGGATCCATAGGATGCAACAATGTTCCTGTTTTAACCGCACTATAGAGGTAAAGATCAGAATTTGCACTTCCGCTGTTTCCTGCCGTTTGATTTTAGCACGCATTCTTGATAAATAATGAAAAGCAACGGGATCAAGTTCAGTATGCGAATCAATTCGAAGAAGAATAATGGAAGTGAATTCATTTTATTAGAAATTAATATTTACTTAAATAAATATAATTTACATATTGTAATATGAATTTTTAATATTAATTTCATTATTTGAATATTGATAATTGTCTTGGTGGCAGCACCCTCCAAGAATCGCAATTCAGGTATCGATATTACCATATTGATAGTTAAGAATTTTTTAAATTTCGAGATATAATTACATGGTAAATTTCGAGTATTTAAAAATAATCGAAAATATTTATTTTTTGATCCCTATTATATTAAATAAAATAAAATATTTCAAATATTTTCTAATAAAGTGTTCGCCATTAATTAAAAGTGATATTTGAAAAGATACAAATTCTTATTTCTAAGTAGGTATAAATAGAATGCTTTTCTGAGTATCGATTAACATGTTACTCGTATAACTGAAAATCGATTTTTAACGATCCATTTATCATTGCTTGCGATTCTCGAGCGATCCAAATATGGCAAACGATGGTGGACAAGTTCAAGTTATATTATCAACGTTCAAGTATAATATTATCGAATTATTTAATCATACGAAATTAAAAATGTGAAAAGAATTTATAGTTTACACAAATGAAACATAGAAGAATGAAGTCATATGGTCAGTTTCATTATCGATAAATACATATGTGACTATTTACATTGCATCTTGAAAATAAATTTAAAAAAGTGACAATTTTTAAAAGCATAAAATATGTAAAAATAATAAATTAATTGAAAAATAAATAATGAACTAAATGATAATTATTTAATATAATTAGTAATTCTAATTAGCAATTCTAGCATTGATCAGTTTACGATTATTTTTTTCAATCTAACAAAATTATATCATTAACTATATTTCATATCTTATTACTTATTATTATCTTATTATGAATATTTAATAATTAATAATTTTAAAAAATTATTTATTACAATTTTATACGTAATTTGTTTATTCCTATTATTTTTTTCAAATAAATCGAGCCTGACATTAGTCTAGAATGTAATTTTCGATCTTTCATAGAATCTCCATCTCAAGAAAACTGACGGACATTGCAAGGGCCAGCCTGCACCATCTATTCCAAACTTTTCTTCCCCATACCTTGGCGCATGGGGCGGGGCCGTTGCAGTGCATCGAAAGAGAAATTTTTCCGGCGGTTGTTGGCCCAGCCCCACGACGAACGAATACTAGGGTGTTTCCCACATGAATGGCAGAGCAGTGGAGGCACATTGCAAGCAAGCTGCAGCGCTGCAGTAGGCCTGTGGGCCAAGGTTCTCTCTCTCCCTTTTGTTCCTCTTTTCCGTGCTTCTTTCCACTTACTTTTTGTCTTGGATATTCTCTTTTTCTCAACTACTTTTATAGAGTAAAAGCTATTTATAATTAGGAATGAATCAACAATGGTTAAATATTTTATTATTTTTAAAAATTTTTAAAAACATTTTATTATACATTCCCATGGTAACATTTTGTTATCATTTTTATTTGCGTTCGAATTTTTTATTATAGGAAGTTTTACAAACTTTCTTGAAAGAAAGATCAGTTATTAAAAATAGATAACTTATTTTTTCTTTCATTATTTAGCATATATACCTATATCTTAATTCTCGGATGCAAATGCATTCAAAATCCCTTCCATTGGGCTAGCTATTCTAAGGTTCTCTGAGGTTCTCTGAGGTTGATAGGCGTAACCCTTTCCCTTTAAGAATTTTTCATGAAGCCCAACCTGGATTTTCATTGGCTGTGAATTATGAGAATTTTTCTAATATGGCTTGTTAGACTTGCCCTTTCTTTAGATATTTCTCCATTGATGATGATATATTATATTATTATATTCTGATGTAACTTTTGTTTGCAACTTTTTTATTTATCAAAGTTGCTCTTTTTTATCAATAATTTTATTTTTTATAATTTTTAAATTATATTTTAATTTATTATATTTAAATTTAATTATCATTTAAATTTATAAATAGAAAACACTTATGGGAAATGCATTATTATAAAGAAAAATATATTGATATTCATTTTCTGTTTCTGATCTGTGTAATCAAAAAACATTGAGTTATTCTATATCAGTGAAGACTCACAAAGCTATATTGATATCTTGCGCAGTGCATATATACATTGTGGTTGCGCAGATGTGTGTAATCTTTTTTCTTACTGAGAATCATTCAACTTCGTAGAAGAATCATATTTTTCTGCGTAAGCTCATTTCCGATTCATGTTCGATATACAAGTGTATTTTTATGGAAAGATACTCATTTCGATATTGTTTTTTCTGTTGACTATTTGTGTTTTTCATGTATTTATAAAGATTTATTTGTATTTTTGGTAAATTGAATTTAGATTAAATAATATTATATTTTCATAATATTTAATATTTAATAACAAAAACAATTTAATGATATTAATTATTTATTTTATACGTAATATTATACATATAAATTATTTTTATTTTTATTTATAATAATTAATTATTATTGATTAATTTTAATTAAATTCTGCATCATATTTTAAACAAAATTTTTTAATAAAAAGAAGAAACATCAATTGATAGTTTGATACATTTTATATTGATTTCTTCATGTAGAACAATATACATAGAGAGATGGTGGCGTTTCTTTATAGCTAGGTTGAGGTTACCGGAGGCCGTTTCTCCTCGTCTCTGGCTTGTCTAGTCTATGGCAAGGTGCATGCTCGAGTATCGTATACTTACACGCAACACACAGAAACTAAACGCCAGAGCGGAGCTGTTATAGAAAGGAAATAATCAGGATCAGATACATCCGATATTGTTGTTTGTAATACTGATATCATTTTGAAGAGTGCAAATTTTCCCAAAAGATGACGATCTTATTAAATAGGTATATAGAATAGTTATAAAATTCTAAATAAAAAAAAAATATAAGGAATTGTTTGCAATAAAAGATTATTAAAACCTAAATAAATAAAAATGAAATTTAATGGAAATATTTATATTCTGTAGATACTGAAGTGTTGAAAGAAAAAATCATAGAAGTTAAAACTGGAAAAGAGATGACTAATATGAAAAATGGAATGTTTGTACGAGATAGAGCTATGATGAAATTGCTTTTAAGAATGCATAAATTTGTGGTGGTATTCAAAATATAAATGCATTTCATTCCAATTTAATCTCATGTAACGTGTCCTTTATATCTCATTTTATTTTTAGAGAACTTGGAACTTTTGCTAACATACATAAAACTACTAATTTATGTATGTTATATATGTTTAACCTACATATCAAATTCAAAAATTATGTAGTCTGAGAAGAATTAGCACGCGAATATTTAAGAGGGATATTGAAAACTGGTTGAGGATAGGGGACAGAGAGGTTCCTTTGCGTCCGCGGGGCTTCGGTGTCAACAGGTTTTATTTTTG